AAAAAATGGGGATTCCCAGGTATTTTTTTTGTCAGGGCCTTCCAAGTGGATATTTATCGTTAGCTCCCTTCATATATTTCTAGTTTTATGACACCCATGAAGACACCCCCAGCTGTCCCCTCTTGGGATTATTGTTTATCACTTGGAAGATAATTGTAAACCATCCAGCATCATGGCCCATATCATATCCCACTGCAAACGGCGTGCAAGAAAGGCTACCGGCCTCCCAATTTATTCCAGTAACTCCCGTGAACACAATAAGCATCCCCATATCTACTCACATAACCATAACCCGCTTCGCCTTGCCAAGGCGTGATCTGAAGAAGGGCTTCGCTCAAAGGACCGGAGACAATATTACCAATTCCCCTGCCTGCTGATAGGCAGGCTAAAAACCATGGTTGAATCGGTGGAACCCTTTTTCTCAACAATGTCGCGCATGATCCCTGGCCAGGTGCTTGTATACGATCCGGCGAAGAGCCCGTAAGCAGCGGCGAAAACGAGAAGGGGCGCCAGCGACAAAGAGAATCCCCAGAGGAGGAATACCGCTAGACTTGATCCAATCGTGGAAAGCAAAATGCACGTGGTAACGTCCCATGTGTCAATAATAGCCCCCATCGATACACACCCAATCACAGATGCGATATTCAAAAGGATAACTGCTAACGCTTCCATGCTCCCTCGTGCACCTATAAAGCGGGCATAACTTGGAAGGTAAATGGATGGTAAAAAGAAACCCAGGGCTTCAATAATATTGCATATCTCGAACAGAGCAAAGGTCGAACTGAACACGAAATAGAGGCTTATTGGAGGTGATCCGGGACGCTGGGAGGCTGGCACACGAGGTTTGACGAAGTAGACCAGTGGGGCTGTTAGGACAAAGAGGGCAACTGCAAATGCTCGGAGGGTAACCCGGAAACCAAAACGATCAAGCAAACGTTCCATCACAAATGGAAGGATGACGCCGCCCGATCCTGTCCCCGCCCACATGACACAGAAAGCAAGACCTTTACGTTTATCGAACCAGTCCTCCATCAGAAGGATGCAGGGCGAATATGCAATACTCCCACCGAGCGCATAGAACACACCCTGGGTAACAATCAGATGCGTAACATTCGTGGCGAAGGAACTGAGGGCCATGGCAAGGCACATCATCAGGACGCCAATGCCACAACCAGTCCGCTGGTACTTAGGCCAACGTCTGAATAGGGCGAAAACAATCGGCAGGTCAAGGTACATAATTCCCTAGGGGAAGACGAATCAGTCGATCGAGTTACATAAACTGTCGCTGGCGGCGATCTCTTCGGGAACGCTTTAAAAAAAAAAAAAAAAAGGACTTCAAAAATTGAGCAATATAACATCTCTCTCACCATCGCACAAGTCCCGATTACGGCAATGTTCCCAGAGTGCTTGAACATATCAAGTGAGCTGTAGTGGGCGTGAAACACTCCATATGTGAAAGCAAATCCCCAAACCAGAGCCTCCATGAAAAAGCAGGCCGCAAGAAACAGCCAAGCATCCTTTCCACGGTCAATTGGTGCCAGTTGCGTTGGCTGGCTGCCTTGCCATTGACAAGCCCCCGCATGAGTTCCCACATCCTTTTCTTCGAGGTGTGCCGATGTATCTCTTTTATTTGACAATGCCACCATGATAAGAGTACGATATCGCAAATCCTGAGAAATGGAAATTTGAATATCCGCAAATCAGGTTTGGACTGGCCGTACGAGGTAACAATCGCGGGGGAAGCTCCAGGTAAAGAGCATAGAATTATGAATCAGCGTTCCGGGAGGTTCAAAAAATGAAGCCAGGTAAAAGCCGTGGCGGTTGACATCGCGGCTCCCTCATATTTTTTGCCTCTAGCTTTGCTCTAAGTAAAATCGGGTGGGGTTGTCAAAGGGCGCGCAAGACTTTTGTCAACCAAAGGGCGAGACCCAGAAAATTCGTAACGGGTTAGCGGAACCATCCAAACTGCTTTTGACTGAGCGACGCTGATCACATTCAGCTGTGAGCTCATTGCTGGAACCTGGGACACACATGATAGCCCCCATTACGAGACCAGGCGCGTTTACGTAGTGTCAAGACCAATAGAATGTGTGCGTTCTGTGAGGGCATTAGCAGAATTTTGTGAGGTTGAAAGTGGGAAGTTGAACTCGCGTAAATGCTGAGCGGCGCTAATCGCGCTAATTCTTTGACACAACCTCAAAAGCTGGACGAGCTACTGCGTACACCCATTATTCATGATGATAATATACTATTGTACATTTTATTCAAGCTAAAGAGACCCGGCAGACAAATCTGCAATGTCTTAGATCTCCCTACGCGTCATTACGCGAGGCCAAAGTCGCACGGCTCACTGAGTATTCAGTCGTTCTTGTTATATAGCCGTCACTCCCATTTGCAGGCAAGATCTGCTTTTGGTCTTCATCCATGCTTCCAGTGTTGGTTGGTGATGATCGGCTAACATCTTTCATAGCATATGCTGTCCTCTCCTCGGCGTCATCATCTCCAAAGCCATAGGCTAGTGAGGTCTGGCGTCTTCCGCGAGAGCTGTGGTCCCCGTACCTCTTTCTTCCAGAGTATGCTCCTTTTCCATATGAACGTGTATTTGAGGGTGTCGAGAGGCCACTCATGACGCCGAACTTCCTCAGTACTCTCTCGAACGTTGATTTCAGAGGCGGTAGTGATGCGGCGAAAAGACCAGCATTGAACTCGGCTCTGCAGCAAGGTTAGAGAATGGCTTTAAAATACGGAATGTAGGATACCACTCACTTCACCCAGATTGTCAAATTCACGGCCGCATATGTCGGATCCTTAGTGTTTAGAATTGCGGGCAACTCGGTAGCTTTTGCTATTGCACAAGCAGAGGCCCTACGCAGATGTGAGTTCAAGGCCTCCACCACAATTGGTAAACAATGGATGAAATGCCTCACGCCAAACCGATAACAAAAACGCCTCGTAGCGCCCATTTATTGTATCGGGAAACCCTAACTTGGGAAAGGTATACGAGGGGCCCAATCGAGAAAGCAACGTCTGTGACAATATTGCCAGCTTTACATTATCAGCAACAGCACAGATAGGTAATCTCGAGTATATACACTCACTGGTCTGGAGGTATGACATGACAAGAGAGACCTTTCGAGGCCAGCAAGTCCCGGCGAGTGTTGGATCCTTATTCCATGTTTTCTCTAATGGCTTGCAACCCGCAAAAGTGGTAGGAATAACAGTCAAGTTAACGATTAGACTGATCGCAATGCACGCAATAACGCAAAAATTGAAAACCCTGCTCAGATCGAGCCGAAGCAGCGAACTGCCAATTCCAACTTTCAAAAATGCCATCGCAAGGCCATTGCATAATATCGCAAAAGTTGAAAATTTCATGCACTGAACCACATCGGCAATATCGAGTGTCAAGAACGGTTTCCCACTCCCATACTTAACACCAGCAATCGTTAGGCCTTGACCCGCCAGACCTGCAAGCTGATCGCCATGTCAGTTCACATTTCTCCGATGGACAGGATTGTAAAGATCATACCATTGCAAGAAATAAGAAAAGGTCATCCCATCCGAATGCTCTGGCGGCGGCATATCGAGCCCAGAATCGAGCGACAACAAATAGGGTTCCAAAAATAGTCAAAAAACATGACACTCCCATCAACTCGGGCCCACGGTCTGGTTTTGAGGTCACGCTTGGATCCATCCTTCAAAGCAAAAGTTGAATTTTTCAGTATCATCGAAGGTCGATTCCTCACATGAGTCCAAAGTCTAAGTTCTCTTGACGGGCAGATCAGAAGATCAGTGGCGATCCGTGAGGATATCTCGGATCGTTGAGCTTGAAAAGAATTAGAATTGCTAGCGGGCGAATCGCACATAGTTAAGTGTCTGGTTTCCTCAATCGAACTTAAAAAAATAATAGCCTGCGCTTTGCAAGTGGGAAATCGCCCATCCCTCATCGTGAACTCCACCAAACTAATGGCCTCGCTGCTTGGCCACAGGAGGGAGAAAATAATGCCAGGATTGATGCAAGCATTTCTTGGATCATACCTCCCATTACGCTAACGTTGGAGATAAATACAACCCTTACAAGTCGTCTTTCGCGCAGACAGGTTGGCATTTTTGGGTTTGGGAGTTGAGGTATCCCGATTTTGCAGTTCTGTGGGCACTGCACCCCTCGGATTCAATCACTTTGATGTCTACAAAAAGGCTTAACAATCACCCAGAATGCTCCAACTCTGCCAACAAATCATATCTCACACACTTCACACGCAACGAAGGGGCAACGAGGTGTGGAGTGGGAAATCCAATTACAATAAGCACTGGAAACCAGCGGACCAATCGAGATGTTGTCAATCCAAAGTCTAGCTTAACTTCAGAGGAACAACATCACTTTCTTTAGTGCTGCTTATTCGGAGTCAAGCTTCACGCACAAGAACAGAACATTAGTTTTACCAACCGACAGCATGCCAGCTCAATGCTCTCGGTGTGCGCCACCCAGCGAGTCGGAGCGAAGATTTGTTTGTTCTTCAAGAAAGGAGTCAGAGTCGTGTTTCGAAATCTTTGTTCAGAACCCCGGGATATGTCCACAGGTTTAGCCCAACTCCCAGTCCGCTAGC